CATTTCAGAGTATCAAGAAGGCCGGGGTGTCAGCAAGCCCGCCCATACAGGAATCGCTCACAACGTCCAATCGATGTCCCTCGTATGTGTTCCTGTCTGTTTCCGCGTGTCTTTTCCATGCAATGTATCAATGCAGGTGCGGATCACCTTAGAGGGTGTGTCTTGAGCTCTGTGCACACGTGCGGACCCCCGTGACAAGCAACATGCTCCTACTGGCCATTGCCACACGTGCTGGTCATTGCCACACGTGTGTACGTGGTATACGTGCTTCCTGAGGGGTCAATCACAATCAAATACACGTGCACACGACACTACAAAGGCCAACAGCTAGTATGCGTCTGTGTATGTGTCCCATGGGCTCGCTGCCTATCGATGCTCGCTCTCCTGCCAGTGGTAGGTTGGTTGGCGCATGTATACAAATGAAAGGAGATAGCGATAACACCCGTAATTTGCCCCTGATCCTACAGGCCGACAGATGCCCTTGGTCGCTCCACTCCTGTGGCTGCCTGCGTAACGGCCGCGGTCGCAAGTCGCTCTTCCCGAAGAGCACGTCTGCCACCCCGCCACCTTGTGTCCCAGGTAGCCACGCCGCGATGAAGGCATTTCCGTCCCGACAAAGCCATCATTGTCGAGGGAGATGATGTGAATGCGTCATACCTTGCCCTCTCTCTTACACCAGCCACTGCCAGCATCGTGGTCCCGGTTCTTCGGGACACCAAGCGCAACCGCTACGAACACGAAGAAGTCTGCGAAGCTGGCAGGAGCGTCGTGCGGGAGAAAGGGCTGCGCTATGAAGGCGGCATTTTCTCATTCGCAATGCACGTTCCGGCCGATGATGGCCTAGTCCAGTGTGCTGCCGCCTGCGCGAAGACGGCAGGGTGCCGCTTATTCTCTGTGTATGACAGAAGCGATTGCACTGGCTTCGTTTCTCCTGCTCGACAAGTCCAGGACGAGAGAGCCGATGCAGGATTCATCTGCATGGACGGTGAGCCAGCGGACGATCGTGTTTTCCGTCACCTTCGGGAACTGTAGGAAGTGCAGCGAGCTACGTGATGAAGAGCAGCTGCCAGCCCAGGCGACCTCTCGACATCCCACCTTACGCTAACCCTTTGAGCTCACCCAGAAGAAGTCGACGAGGGATGGCCACTTTGTGTCGAGCTCGTCGAGGATCGCCTGGCGGTCGACGCTGGTGTAGCAGTGAATGATTTGTCTTTGCTCTGTTCGGTGAAGCGGCGTGAAGCCAGTGAACTCATGTTCGGTGGTGGGATACGCATACAAGACCAATGGGATCATCCTGTCCAATTGTTTGCTCCAGACCAACACGTCCATCCCATTCTGTCGTGCGATGCAGCCACGATGTATTCCATCTCTTCGTCGGCTGTTATCCTTGAGAGTTCTTGGTCCATGTACCAGTTCCACTGCAGAAGCGATAGCAGCTCCCGGGTGCGCAGCCTCACTCGTAATGTGGCTTACCACATCACGACACATTGAATTTGTGCTATCCATTGTATTTATCCATTTATCCATCGATATAGTCTGGGAAGTCTGGCGGACCATCCGTGGCATTTTTGAACTTGAACAGTCCCGGATTACTGTGAGCCTCGGATAAATGGGACCCTGCTTACAGTAAGTATCGCATAAAGCAATCAGTACTTACTATAAATGGGAAAATCGTTATATGGGAAATGTCGTGTGCACGGGGTTAACGGAAAGCGCATCGGCACGAGGAGTCCATCAAGAATGCAAACTAAGAACTAGCTAGCTGTCCCTTCAATTCAATCACTGCAAGCATGCCAAGAGTAAGCCTCTGCCCGACCACCCACCGAGTCCGTCATAGAGTGTGTGTGTGTGCCATAGATCATCAATCCTTGACATGTAGAGTGCACATAAGTGATGCCCTCGGGGAAGTGGCCGTCAGCGTACGAGACGCCAAGTTGAAACGACGACGCACAAAGGGCGGGATAGTTGGCACGGAATAGCGCTGAGCTCTTGGGCTGGTGGGAGATGTCGTGCACGTGATGCTCGGCAATGGCGAGTTGGCACACGGCTGTACTCAGGTGGTTCGGCTCGGTTGAGAAGGGGCTGAAGCGGGTGGCGCATGCGAGCAGCAAGAGAAAGAGGCCGATTGGACGCACATGGACTGCTGATTCCTGTTGCATGGGCAACTCAGGTCCAGCGCGGCCGACGTAGAATGGCTGCATTGTTCGTTTGTGAGAGAGGTGAGGCGACCCGCACATCGGTGGGGAGCTCGCGATGACGTGGGCGTGATGGTGACGCTTGCGCAGCCCACCACAGGCAACGTGAGGAGAAATTCTCCTCACACCGTGATATGCGAGCTCGGATATGGGAAATGTCCCATTTGACCATGTGCATTTTTCAAGCCGGTGACATTCATTCATTGTGAGCCGTCGCAATGACCTGCATGTGGTCCAGCGTGCCTCACTGATCACTGTGAACCAAATTTCACCGTCAGACACCCACAAACAACCGAGTTCGGGGCCGCTAAAGTGGGGCCAAGCAGGCACAAGAGAAGCAGCGAAGCAAACAAGCAGCGGAGCAGCATGAATGGCTTCCCTTTGGGCCCACAGTAGCATTTGCAGTGAGACAGCGAGTCAAGAACCATCGTCAGACGAGCAGGAGGCCGCCTGCGGCCCTCCTCACCAG